AGAACATTAAGGGAAAGAGAAAAAAGGTGAGTAAATATGTGCGCAGCTATAACCTGCTGTTACTACTGATGTTCCTATGAGAATGAGGGCTGTAACTGCTGGGAAAGACAATCACATCCTGGTTCCACTGCAAGTCGTACTTCATCCCAATTTGGCTCGGCCCTCCATCTTGGCTGTTTGAAAATCCTGGAATTCTGGACCTTAACAATGCCTGCTCCTTGCAGACTGCAGTACTTTAAGAACATCCATCTGTCACCTTCTTGATGGACAGCTAGGGATGGACAATAAAATGTTAGCTTTGTCAGTGATGCTTGCATTCCATGAATGAATTGAAAGAACATAAGTTGCAGTGGCCAGAGGGTGCACTGAGCATTGTGCCCTCTGCTGGTGAGAACTGTGGGTGCCCTCTGCTTGCTTCTGAACAGAAGCTTTGATATACATGTTTAAAGTTGACTCTGTTAACGTAGTTTTGTTTTAACTTTATGAATAAAATAATGACAATACATTTAACATTGTGGGTTTCACTTTCATACTGTTTGTCACAAAGCTTCAGTTTTATGGCCGGCCACTCTCTAAATGGTTTTCCTGCACTTCTGTTCCCACACTCCGTCCTGAAGTTCCTCTTTCCCTGTACGGTTCCCACTCTTTGTTCCTACTTCTAAAGATCCCCAGCATCTGTTCCTACAGCTGGGGACTTCTCCTTCTCTGCCATTGCTCCCATTTTTCTCCTTCCTTTCTTCCCACGCCTGTTCTCATTACCTCTTACCTCCTGACCTCCAAACTCTCAGTCCTGGCCTCTTTTCTTACCTTCATTATCGCCATCTTCTCGTCTTGTGCTCCCAATCTGAACTCTCACTGAAGTCCTGGGATTCACCTAGTGGCAGAGGTCGGTCAATGCGTGTCATTCTGGATTTGAGCTGCTTCCTGCACTGATCATTAGATGGAGTTTAATCAATTAATCAACAGATGAGTGTAATTTTAACATTCAGAATTTTCATTTATATTGCATTATGTTTATACTTATAATGCAATATTAGAAGTTTTAACTTCTCATTTATTTGGTTTTAGAGGTCATGTTATTTATGAATGTAGTTATTTGACAATGTGCATCATTTAAACTTAAAAATGTTCTTGTTTTTTTCTGCTGAGAGGTTCTAGAATACCTCAGTGTACAGTGTTAATTTTATATTTAGTAACTTCTTTTATGTCGCAAGTTTTTGGAGCTAGGAATGCACAGTACAGCATACATTTGGTACAGTATTACAACCTATGTACTTTTTCGAAGGCAGAAATGTTTGAAAGAACCCAACTGCAGTTTTAACATTGATTTCAGTGGGAACCTGTGATTTAATTAAAGTTGTTTGACATCATGGTTTTCAGGAGTAGAGCCCACAGCTTTAAGTGAGGACTTGCTGTTCTAATAGAGGTGTTCAAAATGCAGGATGCTTCCGAGCATTGAAGAGCACTGACCTCACTTGTGTTTTTGATTCTGATCTAATTGAAAAGCGTATTGTTGCTTAGTATGTAATAATTATTCAGATTAAATAACAAATAGTCATTGTGACTATCTTTAACAGCAAGGCAACAATTGAATGCAAGGAAACCACAGGAGGGCAAATAATAAAAAATAAGATGTAGCACCTTCATTGTGTCTTTCACAATACAAAATATGTCAAATCCTTGGACAAATTTCAAATGCAGTAGCTATTAATATAGCAAAAGTATTTTATTGTCTCTGGGATTCTTTTACAGTCCTTCTTTGAGGCAGCAAGTATGATGAGCCAACTGTCCTATAAGCACTTAGTGTTGAATTATGGAGTCTGCGTGTGTGGTGAAGAGAGTAAGTAAACAGTTCTGAAGTTTTTATTTCTGTTTTCATGCCACTGGCTGTTAGACATGCGGGTAATCATCCCTTTCTCATCAGAATTTTTACAAATATCTAATTGAAATGCCAGAGGCAAAAAGATTCTTGGAGGAGGATTTTTCAGAGAGCGGTGTTCACTGAAATTAATGACCAAAAATTAAATATTTACATCTGTAAGGTCCAAATCAGAGGAAAACAAAAACTAGTTACCTAATACAGAAGATTCTGAGAATATTTATTTGTTAAATCAATTCCTCATACACATCCTTTAACATTTACTCCCTCCACTTCTGCCATATGTTTACCATTTATAACAGGATTGTCCAACTTTTTTGCATGGGGGTGGTAGACACATTGCAGTTTTCTCTCACTTGGAGATTGGAGGGAATGGGTGCAGTGAGCCAGTGTCAAGAAAATAAGGTTTGCCGCAACAGGATAAATTATTTTAATTAATGATGCAAAGCTGGGAGGAGGATGCAGAGATGCTTTAGTGTGATTTGAACAAATGCAAGGCAGTTGAAATATAATGTAGATAAATGTGACGTTATCCACTTTAGTAACAAAAACAGTCATTCAGATTATTGTCTGAATGGGGATAGGTTGGAAAGGGGGAGTGCAATCACCTCCATGTATCCTTGTACACCATTCACTGAAAGTAAGTTGATAGTAAATAAACGCAAAATGATGTTCCCAATGACTGGGGAGCCAAAAACCAGGATCACCGTCTAAAAATATCTGTTAGGCCTTTGGCACTGGGATCAGGAGAAATCTCTTCACCCAGAGTGGTGAGCCTGTGGAATTCCCTACTACAGAAAGTGGTTCAGGCCAAAATATTTAACTTTTTCAAGAAAAAAAAGTGATATACAGTTCTTGCAGCTTACGGGATCAAAGGGCTTGGGGAGAAAGCAGGACCAGGGTACCGAGTAGGATGATCAGCCATGGCCATATAGAAAGGCAAAGAGCCGAATGGCTTACTCCTGCTCCTGAAAAAGCAATTCCAAAGCAATAACTTGGTTGTTGAAATGAATAATTAACAACATGTCCATTAAAAAATGCCAACCAGAAAAGTTGGTGAAACCTTTTCTTCTCCCTGTGTTAAGAAGCAGAGCTAGAGAGAGACAGATTAGGCTTTACATTCTGATCACCAGGGCAGGAGGTATGTATGGGGACCAAGTAAAGAGATTGGGTTTAATTAACGCTGACCTTGGTTCACCTCTGGTGGGAGCACACACTGAGCTGGCCTCAGTGGGGACGCTTCACCCTGCCTTTCACTCCTCTCCCAACTATTTGTGTAGAGATATTTCTGTGGAGCTAGGAGGGACGGAGAGGAAAGGTGATTGTATTTCTGACTGAGTTTCGCTCATGGTCTCACTCACCATCCACCAACACAGTCCCTCTACCCTGTCACTTACTCATCCCTGCCCTCTCAAATCTCCAGCCTGGCAAATGAACCTCTCCGCATTTACCCTGCCAAGCCTGCTTGCAATGTTATACATTTGCTTTAGTTCCCGTTTTACACAGAGTCCAAGGAGCCTAATGTATCTTTGCTAAAAGGATCATGCTGCATGAGGTGATGCCACTCGCATGCAATTCTGAACCATACTGTGCTAAGGCAAGGTCTGCCTTCCAGTGAAGGAAGTGGCGAGTTGTGAGGAGCAGAGGTGCTGGAGGTGAACCTCCTGATTGCCAGGAAATGATGGACTCTCAGTGACCTGCGAGCAAATGGTACAGTATAGATCAGAACAAAAGTGAAGGGGTAGATGTAAGTTCCACTCCTTTCCCTGTCCACCTACCCCCCCCCCCCCACCCCATTAAAAAGAAATACAGCTATCATTCCCAGTGTTTGCACACTCAAAGGTTTTCCTATTGAAAGTACCATTTGCTGTTTTCCACTTTGCATCAGAAATTCAAAGAAAAACATTTAATTGTCTGAAAGTAGAAAGTTTTCTCACAGTTCTTTGTTACCAGAATGTGATGTTGTTTACCATAAATCCATAAGACATAGGAGCAGAAGTAGGCCATTCAACCCATCGAGTCTGCGCCATCATTGATTGACATCGTGGTTGATCTGATAACCCTCAACTCTGTTTTCCTGCTATTTCCCCATAACCCTTGATTGCTTTAGTAATTAAAACAATCTATCTATTCAGCCTTGAATATACCTAACTTTGTTAATTTTAAGGTAAATAGCTTCTGGGTACAGTGGTGGAGTCTTTCAAAAGCAGATAGGTCTGAAATAACTGATCTGACTCTGGGATTAACACTGGCAAGAGTGCCATGCCATGCTATGCCTGCTTTGCCCTGTAACTAACTGCTTTCTAATTCTGCTTCCTTTTATCATGATTATCTCTTAGATGTTAGAACTGATTGAAATGGAACTCTGCCCTTCAACTTTGAGCTATTTAGTGTACTTCATGCTGGATGTGTTTTCTCACTCTCCCTCTACTTTTGTTTTCAGATATCATGGTTCAGGAGTATGTGAAGTTTGGATCATTGGACACGTATCTGAAGAGAAACAAAAACATTGTGAACATCCTGTGGAAACTGGAGGTGGCAAAACAACTGGCTTGGGCAATGCACTTCTTAGTAAGTGAAGTTTCTGAATAGCGCTTCAACCGTTTTGAAAATGTAGTAGTCATACAACTAGTTTTTAATGTTTGTGTCACCGTGAAATATATCTGCCTTTAATAGAGTAGAATATCCCAAAGTACTTCATTCATGCCTTAATCAGACCAAATTTACCCCTGAGCTACGTTAGCACAGGGTGGTTTTGTTACAAACCCATCCACTGCAACAGTTATATTAATTATACATCCACACGCCCTAAATCAACGCCATTCCATTTTCCCGGTTTCTCCATCTCCGCTGCATCTGGCCTGACGATGTCAACTTCCGCAGGGGAGCATCAGAAATTTCCACCTTTTTCTTCAACTGAGGATTTCCTACCGCCACGGTTGACGGAGCCCTCAGCCATGCCCAACCCATTTCCCTCACTTCTGCCCTCACCTCTTCCCTTCCCCCATACAACAACAGGGTACCCCTTGCCCTCACTTTCCATCCCCCCCCAGTGTCCACATCCAAAGGATAATAAGCTGCTATTTCCATTGTCTCCAGTGTGATGCCAACACCAGACAAATATTCCTCTCCCCTCCCTTGCCAGCATTCCAAAGGAACCACTCCCTCAGGGACACCTTGGTCCACTCCTCCTCCACTTCCAACTTACTTCCCAAGCACCCAAGGCACCTTCCCATGTAGCGGCAGAAGAAGCAACACTTGCCCATTTACCACCACCTCCTCATTCTCCAAGACCCAAGACACAACTTCCAGGTGAAGCAATGGTTTACCTGCACTTTATTCAATCTAGTTTACGGAGTTCACTGCTCACTATGTGGCCTCCTCTACACTGGAAAGACAAAACGCAAACTGGGGTGATTGTTTTTCTGAACACCCCCGTTCAGTTTGTAAAAATGACTCCAAACTTCCAGTTGAGTGACACTTCAACACACCAGTGTGTTTCCGTGCCAACATTCTGTTTCACACCTGCTGCAGTTCTCCAGCGAGACTCAATGGAAACTGGAGGAGCATCTCATCTTCCATCTAGATAGATTACAGGCCTCAGGATTCAACATTTGAGGTTAACAAATTCAAATCGTGAATACCTTACTCCATGTTTGTTACTCATCCCCGCAACTCCAGGCCCATATCTGTATGGGTTACTCCCAGCACAGTTAACCCATTTTCAACTATTTACTGTTCCTGTTATCATGTATTCAGCATTTACTTATTCCTTGGCTTACTATTAACAATCCCTTTGTCTGCTTCCTTTTTTCCCCCCTTTGTCTGTGGATGCTGTCTCCATCTATTCATCCCACTCCTTGCCCCACCCTTCCCAATCCACCTCAGTCATCAACATATATACCACCATTTCTCAGTTCTGACAAAGATCATGGGACTTGAAACATTAACTCTGTTTTTGTCTCCACAGATGCTGTCAGAACAAATAAGTTTCTTCAGCACTTCTGTTTTTGTTTCTGATTTCCTGCATGTGCTGTTCCTTGGTTTCTTTTGGTTTCATAATGTGCCTCACCCAAGCGTAACCCAGTTTTTCTTCTGTTAGAAGTCAATATATAAAATCAAGTGTCTATTGCTGTTACCCTGACTTCCTGAAAAATCTGTGAACTGGTAATGAACCTGTCACTTCTGCTATTGCAAAGTGTAGAGCCTGGAGAACAGCCCTGAGGGATGGGGTTACAGCAGCTTGACATGTGGTTCATTCCACTTCCTCCAAATACATTCATTGTCCTGGCTTAATGCACATGTTCTTGCATCCTCTGTCATGGAAAGTTGTTATCCCATGTCAGCATTTTTAGTTTTGGGTATTTAGCTAAGTACAATTATATTAATGACTTGAACAAAGAGATGGACATTAATGAAATCATGCTACAACAGTGATTTTAGTGAAAGCACACCTAGAGGATTGTGTGTAACTTTCATGTCCATATTTAAGCAAGGATATATTTGCATCTGAGGCTATACAGTGAAAGCTCACTAGATTGGTGCCTTGGAGGAGAGATTGTTCTGCAGTGGGAGGCTGAATAAATTTGGTCAATATTGATTGGCACGTAGATGATTGAGAAGTGATGTCATTGAAATGTACGAAGGAGGCTTGACAGGATTGAAACAGTTTGTTTCTGCTAACGAGAGAATCTGAAACAGGGAGACACAGTCCGGATAGGGGCTAATCACGTAAGACTGAGATGGGGAGAAATTTCTTCACGCAAAGGCTTGTGGGTCTTTTAAACTGTATAAATCAGAGGGTTGTGGATACTGCATTGTTTAATACATTTATGCTCAGGATAGACTGATATTTGGTCTCTGTTGGGGAATTGAGGGATGTGGGTAACAGTTGAGAAAGTGAAGTTTAAACCCAAGTTGAGCCACGATTATATCAAATGGTGGAGCAGCTTTGACAGGTTGCATGCTCTAGTCCTGGTCCTATTTCTTGTGGTTCTTTGCCAATCACTTTAAAGTGATCCCCCTGGTTCTTGATCCTTTCAACAATGGGAATAATTTCACCTCTAGATATGTATATCTAGACTCATTACTTTGAACACCATCATGAAACTTTCTCTCGACCTGTCCTTTACCAAGGAGATCAGTTGAATCCGCAATGGTCTATCCTTATAGCTAAAGCCCTTCATCTCGGGAATGTTGCTCATAAATTTCAAGCATGAAGCCATTTTATTATTAGATTTTTGTTGTGATTCTGACATTTCTTCTAAATGTAGGAAGACCGAAACCTTGTCCATGGAAATGTATGTGCCAAGAATGTCCTGATGATCAGGGAAGAGGACAGGAAGACTGGAAACCCTCCATTCATAAAGCTTGCTGATCCTGGAGTCGGTATGATGGTTCTACCAAAAGATGGTAAGGATCTCTAATTAGACCCAGGATTTAATGGATATTAACTAAGTCAGTTGTGGAGCATGCATACATTTTTTTTTTTAGTTTTGTTTATGTCAAAAGGTGCTGTAATGAACTCCTGCCTTATTTCATTCAAGTTTCCACAGCACAGATTGATTGGAAATTTGCTTTCTGCACATCAGAAGTGGCATTGTATTTCAGCCAGGCTGGAAATGCTACTTTCCTTACATGGACACCTAGCCTTGGGCTAACACAAAGGCTTATTGATGACCTCAACATTAATTCATGTTGTTTCCGTGTTTTCCATTTCAAATGTCCACACTGATCCCTTGCTGTCTACCTACTCCCAAACACAAGCATGTACAGTTGTATAGCCTGATGTGAACAAAATTTGTATTACTATTCCTCCATGAATTTGTGTGTTTAAAATCTGTGTACCAGATTGGATTTTTGAAGCCACAATTAGGTATTTGGAATGAATTTCTTAAGTTTGCTGTCGCACCTATGGCTGTTCTTTTCATTGGGCACTATTCATCTTCAATTATCTGCAGTATTGCACTAAGTGCTCGTCTGAAGAGCCAGTGCAGGCATGGTAGGCTGAATGGCCTCCTCTTGTGCTGCAGTAACTTTGTTATTTCTTCCTTGGTGCATGCACTTGTTTGTCTTATCCCAAGGAATGCCATTCCAACTGAGAGGCTTTTTGATTTCTTTGGGGACTGTTACCAGGGGATGCATTTTAGTTCTAATTATATGCAGAATTGACATTATCTACATGCTTCAACCTCCTGCCAACAGTGTAGAAGATTTTTTTTACCAAGAATGTTATTAGGCTTAATTGCTATTTTTATTAGACTTCCTCCAAGCTTTATGTATTTTCTGAAACTGAATATGCAAACTGATAACTTACCTCCCTTCAAATGGGAATCACTGTAGAACAGTTTCTCCAGCTTGGCCTCTGTCCTTCACTCCTTAAGTTCAGTTTGAAAAGGAATACTGTTGACAAGTGCCCATGGAATCCTAGTGTTTCAAAAGGTAAAATGTTCATGTGAGACTAGGTAGAAGATATGTCCAGATCAAGTCCCATTCTTCCTTCATTTGAACCATATGAGCCATAAACAAAACAAATGACAATAGTTGAATGCAGTGTTTATTTGTCCTGCAACACTAGGAGAAGCACTTGTTTCATATGTGCAGTTGTTGTCTCTGTCAGTGTCAGACTCTCAGCTGTTTGGTTAAAATAAACAAATTAGTTTGACAGAAACTAACAATGAAGTTCAGATTACTCAATTTAGGACTGTGCAGTTCTTAACCAGCTGCTAGTTCTTGTATCTAGACATAGTATTTTCAACTGTTTACTCTGTAGAACTTCTAATGATTCAATAAATGATGAAGATATATAATCAGGAAATTTCAGTAAATAAGGTTCCCAACTTTTGATAAATTCAGAAAAGATTTGTTGTAAAATCTACTTTGACTTTCTTTAAACTAAGAAGTGTCATCAATGAGCAAGTTTGAAAATATCAAGAAAACCAATTTTTTACCCAACTTCGGACTTGAACCCTTGACCGTTTGGATTGAGAGTCCCATATCTATCAACTACAGAAATATTATTGTTAGAGATAATGATCAAACTCCATAGTGTTCTAATGAGTTTGCTGTGTGAATGTTCCATTCCGTCTGGTCACCAAGAGGACCAAAGGCAAGGAAGGGAAGAGCCATAAGTGTGCACTTGAGTGTTAGGGATCTGTGGTATGGGGAAAGACTGAAGATGTTTAAATTTCATAGCCCACAAAGCTGCATCTGCAAGGTGACCTTCCAAAGATGACTACAATTATTAACAGTGCAGAAGATGTTTTACCCAGAATATTAATTTACATTAAATAATAGGCTAAAGGTAGTAAAAGGTAATTTTTGAACATTCACGTTCTGCCACAATGTGATCAACGTGTGAATTAAACCACCAAATGCATTGTAGACCTGGAATTACATGTAAGAAGCAACTGATCCTGCATTAGCATCCAAGAATCTCTTCAGATGTAGTTCAAATGGGCCAGATGCATTGTTGTCTCTGTGAGTAAGTTACGAATAAAATATGTCAGTATTTTACTTGATTACCGCACCACAAGATATTTTTCCAGTTATTCAACCAAACCAGCACTGATATGAAGTTTTTGCCAGAGATAAGAGAAACTCTGAAAATAAATGTGGTTTCTGAAAGGCTCAGTTCATCAGAAGGATTTAGAGGAGGCAGCATTTTAGGTACCTTCATCCTCATGCAGAAACCAAGTAGCCTAAATGTATGGAGATTTTTCCCTGTATTCAAATAATGAGATTATCAGTGGCCAGTGTTCAGCTTCATTCCCTTTTAATCCAAAAGCCTATGTTTGTTTGTGTGTCACATTGTATAGTATTGTGATCAAATTAATTTTGGTGCCTTAGTGTTCACTGGCCTGCTGTCTGCACAGTGATAAACTGTTTCATTTTGCAGTTCTCATTGAACGGATTCCCTGGGTGCCACCAGAATGCATTGAGGATCCCAAGAATTTGAGCCTGGCAACAGACAAATGGAGTTTTGGTGCCACTTTGTGGGAGATTTGCAGTGGTGGAGATAAACCATTGGGTCCATTTGACTCCACGAGGGTAAGTTAGTTACAGTGAATGCAAATACAAGCTACCTTTTATTACAGTGTGAAAACAGTGGCTGGCAAATAACATCTACTTGCAAGGTCCATGATTCAAGGATTACTGTCTCTTTCCACTCCTGGTGAGTGCCTGCACATGACATTGTATAAATCAAAGGGGTTGGGGGAATTACAACCATGGATACACACAGCACATCAAGTAGCATCTGCAGGAAGAAAAGACAGGATTTCATACAAATATTACCGTTTGCTACAAACAAGATCTAAATATGAAATGTCTCCATCTACTTTTAAGTCAAAGATAATTTAAAGGGATCAAAGGGTATGGATCTGGGTGGGATGCTCCGAGGGTCAGTGTGGACTTGTTGGGCTGAAGGGCCCGTTTCTCTACTGTAGTGATTCTATGATTCTATAATTCTCAGATTCATTGTACAGCAAGACTAGCAGATGCATCTTAGTTTATACACTTGATGTCACTTGCAATAATAATGGATACAGCTCTGCTTTACCTTTGTATATTTTATATATAATTTTTATTAATTTCATTTGAAACTGAGCAAAAATTTGACCATTCCTGAAGTTATGTGGCAAATAATATTGAATTATTTTTAACTTGTTTTAGAATTGTGCTTTTTGTTTGGACAGAAAATGCAATTTTATGAAGATAAGCATCAACTTCCTGCACCCAAGTGGCTAGAGCTGGCCAATCTCATCAATCTCTGCATGAATTATGATCCAGACTTCAGGCCTTCATTTCGTGTCATAATACGTGACTTGAACAGCCTTTTTACCCCAGGTAAGTTAATCATATCTCTTTCCCTTCCTGAAGTCGACCAAACTGCACCATCTTCTTTTATTACTGTTAATCGGATTGCTGGTTTGTTTTACAAATTCCAGTTCTTCTGGAAATGTTTGTTTTGCACAAGCTGGGTTGAATTTTACTTTAAATTGGTGGATTGAGGGAGGAAGTACGAGAAGCGAGTGGTCCACTTACCTCTGCCTTTTCCCATCTGTTGAACCATAAAAAAGGCCATGGCATTGAAAGAAGCCATTTGGCCTATTTTGTCTATGTAACTGAATAAACTAATAAACCACCCGTTCTGATCCCATTTACCAGCACCTGCGTTTATACACTTGCTGATTACAGCATTTCAGATGCGGATCCAGATTCTTTTTCAAAAGGTTGTGCGTTTTTTCTCTCAACCATCAAACTAGACTGTGAATTCCAGACACCTGAGTGAAAGCATTTTTTCTTCCTGTCCCCTTGAATCCTTCTACCAATCACCTTAAATCTGTGCCTTCTGGTAAATGACCTCTTACTAGGGGATACAGGACTTTCCTGTCCACTCGCTCCATTATTTCATACTCCTTAATTACGTCAGCCCTCTGTCTTCTCTTTTCTAATGAAAACAACACTATCCTACCCAAGGATTCCTCTTAGCCACAATTTTTAAGCCCTGGCAGTGTTCTTGTAAGTCTCCTGTCTACACCCTCTATGGCGATCATGCCCTTCTAGTAATGGGGTGACCAGACTGTACATAAAAATGCAGCTATGGCCTAGCCAGTGTTTTATATATACCAGCATTACACCCCTGTTTTTGTGTTCAAAACTTCACCCAATGAAGGAAATATTCCACATGCTTTCTTTAACAACTTTTCTGTCTTTACGACCACCTTCAGGTTTATCTACTTTGATTATGGGATGCTAGAGACACTGACAGGATTGGCTGTCGTTGTCTTGAGGTTATTAACAACCAGTCCTGCTATTTGGAACTAGTATGAGGTATAGCTAAACTGAAGGTGATCCTTTGCTGAAGGAAATGAGTAACCAGCTGACTTGTAAGCTTCATCCAAGCCTGGTAGAAGTTGTAAAGATCCTAGCCCCTCTATGAGACCTAATCAAAACTTTTCTTTTTAAGTAAAAATTCAAATGCTGTAGATCTGAAAGAAATTTGAAATTGCTGGAAATGAACAGTCAACATCAAAAGTAGGAAATGGGCCATGATATTACAGTTTTGCAGTTTAGATGAGATCCGAAGACACAATGAGAAATAGGAATTTTAATAAGGTAGGGAAAATAGATGGAAGATTAAGATGGCAAAGGTACATATGTTTGTTCTCCCCATTGTTCTCTCTCTTTACAACTATGTGCTTAATTTCTTTTAAAAAGAAACTTGAGTACATTTGAGATGATGCAGAGACTCAGGAACGACTAAATAATGTGTCAGTAGTAGAAGCGGGAAAGATTGATGAAGACATACACAAATAGTAAATGCAACAAAATAAGAGAAAAAATGAAAAACTGCATATGCCCCAGGGATGAAATTATAAAATGCTGAAGCAACATATTTTTGTTTCTCCTTTTTTAAAATGTAAGACTTCACTCTTATTGCTGAGGTTTGGCCCAGTTATCCTCTTAGCAGGACATGTTCCAAAGTGGAATCTTCATAAGTCTACCAATCCTTACAAAAAACTTGGTTTTCGTAGATGTCAGACATGGGCCTTCCAGAAAGGGGAGACCGACATGTTAAATAGATTTTAAATGTGGGTTTCAGGAGAATGGTAGGAGTCATCTGGACCAGAAAAGTAACAAATGGTGAAGTGCTGAGGAGAGAGAATGAACAAAGTAAGGTGCAAATCATAATTAGGAGGCACATCATATTTAATATATTTAGTAATAACATATTTAATAAACATCGTTAGTGATGTTCCGGAGGGCTCAAAGGAAAGGAAGAGGACAGAAGGGAATGTCAATGTTGGATTGCTTTTAAAAAAATGAATGAAATTATTGCCCAATGAAAAGCATGGCACAAGATAAAGGTATGTAAAAACTTATGCTGGCCCTCACAGTCTGCTTTTCTGGAGGGCACCACTTTGCTGCTAGTTAACTCGTTTAAAAAATAGCAAAGGTATTTGTTGTTTTATTTAAGCAAATAGATTTTAGATTTTTTTTTTACAATGTTCCAAATCTCCCACCTCTGCCAGTCTTTAGAATATTAGTATGCTTTTTGACACTTTGCTATATCAACTATTGAGCTTAGGTTTACATTGTAGAAGTATCTGAATCTGCTTTCTCCAGATAGTCTCTATTGAGAGAGTTTCCGGAATATGTGCAGTTGTTGGGATGTGAATCAGCATGTCTGTTAAAAGCTCTTTTGCTGGGTAAAGCATTTAGATCAGTTTGACAATCAGAAAAAGCAGTTTGAAAGCTAGCATTCACTAGGGTGGGTTTAAAATGAGAATTTGCTACTCGGGGGCGTACAGACTTCAATGCTTGCTTCAAAAGCACAGACACTTGAGAGAGTCTGCAATGCTGTGAACTTGTGGCCAATGATTCAAAAACATTACCTATCATATGCACAGCTCTACTTCAGAGTGCAGTGTTCTCATTTGAGCATTTTTCTCTTGTGGATTTTCCCTTGTAAGAGTCATGCTGTGGCATCAGAGGTGATGTCTTCCAGCAAAGACCTTAAATTGAGGCCCCATCAACGCTCAAGTGGAAATGAAAACCCCCAAGGCGCCATCTTGGTGAAGGACAGGGGAACTCTCCCTGGTGCCCTGGCCACTGTTCATCTTTACATCAACATCGCAAATGAGAGCGTACCTAGCCCTCAGTTTGCTGTTTTTGGGAGCTTGCTGTTCACACCTTGTCTGCAATGTTTCCTACGTTTCAACAGTGACTGTGTTGAAGGTATTATATTTGAAAGGTGCTTCATTTTGGTGCAGTTTGGACCATCCTATGATTGTTAAATTGCCATCCATATGGAAATGTGATGCACCCAGGTCAGTATAAGAAGGCAAGACCTTAATCAGAGGAAGGAATACTTACCAAACTGAAAACTTGCTCCCTAACAGATTATTGTTTGTCCCACAGATTATGAGTTATTGGCTGAAAGCGACCTACTCCCGAACATGCGAGGTGGTGGGCTTGGCTTCCTGGGAGCTGGTACAAACAATGATGTTGGGCAGTTTGAGGAACGGCATCTCATATTTTTGCAACAGTTGGGCAAGGTAATGATACATGCTGTTTACCACTTAAATCAAGTTGCTAAACTGGAATTCCAGTGTTCAAAATCTCCCGTTAACCGACAATTTAAGCATATGGCTGAAGTATGCAGTTTTTGCACCATGTCAACTCTATTAGCCCAAACAGGTCAAAGCTCTGCATCTTTTTGTCTTGCTGCAAGGTACCATACTACAGGAGGTTTGCAGAACCGGTTGCTTTAGGGTAATAGAATCCAGTCCAAAAACTCCCTGATTCCAGTGACGACTTCTTTAAACTGAGTTGTATTAAAAATAATTATTTTTATTTATATGTGCAAGTTTGAGGTTAGTGTGGAACCCTGGAGAGAACCTGGCAAAACTGCTAAGAATCTTCCCATGACGTTCTGTGATATATTTTATCAGTGGCGTTTCAAAGAAACAAAATGCATGAATTAATTCTACATCCACTTGTGGCACTAACCCAGTGCTCCTCGATCCAAACAGGGTAACTTTGGCAGTGTTGAGCTGTGCCGGTATGACCCACTCCAGGACAGCACAGGCGATGTGGTGGCCGTGAAGAAGCTACAACAGAGCACCGCAGAACACTTGCGTGACTTTGAAAGAGAAATTGAGATCCTCAAGTCCCTTCAACACGACAACATTGTCAAGTATAAAGGAGTGTGCTACAGTGCTGGTATGTGCAGTCTGTCTGGACAATGAACTGGATTGAGTAACACGCGAGGGACACCTCGTGTGACAGTCAAGTTGTGAACCTTCTAACCTGTTGCCTTGTTCCTTCACCACCTTTTTTTAGGCTGTGTTCTGTGAGCGGGGGTGAAAGCCTGTTGCTCAGGGATGAGACTAAGAGCCAAACCAGATTCAGCTGGCAACATATCACTAATTAAGAGGCTGCCATCAAATTAAAAGGACGTGGCCCAAAATGGACAGTCACACAGAACAACACCAACTGCGTGGCAAACCCCACCTCGCCTCTATGCAATGGGTGTAGGTGCTCCCTCTTTAGTTTATAGAGTGCCCATAATAATAGAGGGCCATCCCCTGCCAACAGGTGATACCAGCAACTGAGATGAGGTTGTCCACTGGGCATTACTTGGTACCTAAAGGCCACAGTTGACGGCAGTAAGTAAAGGCTGCCCATCTTCCTTCCTGCCTGCTGCTAACCAGGACGGAGGAGAGGAGGAGCCCACCACAATGACGAGTATTAAATACCACTGCACAATGCTTGAGCAATAGGGAAGCTTTGCAAAGGCTGATTTGCAGGAGATGAAGAATGTTGAGGGGGATGGAAGGTTTCAGTTGAGCAGCAATTCTTAGCAAATTTCTGGAAGAATTATATTTCTGTTCCCAAAGCCTGGTGGGGTCCTGGCATTTGTTTCTTTTAAATGTCTGAGCTGACGTTGCTAGTTTGGATGTTTTGATGCAACTCACTAGTCAAGACTGGCTGACTGTGACTGCGAAGTGAGTCTGGTTGAGTTGCTGAGAGGGGAGCAGAAAAAATCCAAGGAAGGTGGAATGGATCCCCCACTTTTCTAAAGGAGGCAAAGGGAGTAATTGCCTTAATTGAAAAGCCTGTGGCTATCCCTTTACCATCCATGGGTTAAGCAGCCAGCCCCAAAATCTCAAACAACGTGCTAGCCCCATTTTAGTCAGGGTCCTCTAAAAGCAGTGTTAGGACTCTCATTTGTGCCTGCAAGGCAAATGGGCAATGGGACAGTGGCAATCTGCACAATTTCAGGGGAGGTCAGATGCAGGATCTAGAGTCATAGAGTCATACAGCATGGAAACAGGCCATTCAGCCCAAACTGGTCCATGCTGACCATGGTGCCCAGTCAGCTAATTCCAATTGTCCACATTTGGTCCATATCCCTCTTAGCTGTTCCCATCCATGTACCTATCCAAACGTTTTTTAAATATTGCTATTGTACATGCGTCAAACACTTTCTTCATAAGCCCATTCCAAATACACACTACTCTCTGCGTGAAGATGTTGCCCCTCAGGTCCTTCTTAACTCTACCCCCTCTCATCTTAAGCCTAAGCCTTCTAGTTTTCAATTCCCCATCCCTGGGAAAAAGACTATATGCATTCATCCTATCTATGCCCCTCATGATTTTATACATCTCAATAAGGTCACCCCTCATTCTCCTACATTCCAAGGAATGAAGTCCTATCCTGGCCAACCTCTCCTTATAACTCAGGCCAATTACTCCTGGCAACATGCTCGTAAATCTTCGCACACTTTACAGTTTAACTCTGTCTTTCCTATAACAGGGTGACCAAAACTATACATCATACTCCAAGTGCATCCTCACCAGTGACTTATGCAACTGTAACGTAACATCCCAACTCCTATACTCACTGCTTTGACCGATGAAGGCCAGCATGCTAAATACCTTCTTCACCACCCTGTCTACGTGTGACGTCGTTCTCAACGAACTATATGCTTGCACTCCAAGTCTCTCTGTTCCACAACACTCCTAGGGGCCTTACCATTTACTATATAAGTCCTACCTTGGTTTGACTTTCCAAGTGCAACACCTCACACTTATCCGTATTGAGTTGTATTTGCCAATCCTTAGCCCACTTCCCCAAATGTTCAAGATCCCTCTGTAATTTTTGATAACCTTCCTCGCTATCAATGATACCTCCTAATTTTGTATCATCCACAAACTTACTAATCATGCCTTGTGCATTCACATCCAGATCATTTATGTAAATAACAAATAACAACGGTCCCAGCATTGACACCTGTGGCACACCACTAGTCACAGGCCCCCAGTACAAGAATCAACCTTCAACCATCACCCTTTGCTTCCTACCTTTGAGCCAATTTTGAATCCAATTAGCTAGGTCTCCCCGGATGCCATGCGACCTAACCTTAATGACCAGCCTGCCATGCAGGACCTTGTCAAAGGCCTTACTAAAGTCCATATAGACAACATCCACTGCCCTACCCTCATCCATCTCTTTGGTTACCTGTTTGAAAAACTCTAAAAGATTTCCCGTGCACAAATCCATGCTGACGATCCCAAATCAGACCTTGACCATCCAAATGTTGGTTTTATCCTGTCCCTCATTATGCTCTCCAATAACTTGCCTACCACTGATGTCAAGCTCACTGACCTGTAGTTCCCTGGCTTGTCTTTGCTACCTTTCTTAAACAATGGAACAACATTAGCCACCCTCCAGTCTTCTGGAAATTCACCAGTGGCTAAAGATGAAGCAAAAATCTCTGCAAGAGCCTCTGCAATTTCTTCCCTAGCTTCCCACAATGTCCAAGGATAGACTTGATCAGGCCCAGGGAACTTATCCACCTTAGTGTCCTTTAAGGCTGCAAACACCACCTCTCTGGCAATATGTATGCAGTCCAAAACGTCCCCACTTGTTTCCCTTTTTTCCTTAGCATCCATGATTCTCCCCTCAGTAAACACTGAGGAGAAATATTCATTAAAAATCTTCCCCCATCTCCTGTGGCTCCACACATAGAAGCCATGTTGATCTTTAAGGTGACCTATTCTCTCCCTAGCCACCCGTTTGCTCTTAATATAGTCATAGAACCTCTTGGGATTGTCTTTAACCTTATCTGCAAGATCAATCTCATTCCCTGTTTTTGCTTTTCCGAATTCCCTCTTAAGTGTGCTCCTACACGTTTTATAGTCATCTAGGGATTCATTGAAGCCTGACAGCTTAAACCCAATGTATACCACCTTCTTTTTCCCGACCAGAGCCTCAATATCCCACGTCAGCCAGGGATCCCTAAACCTGACAACTTTTCCCTTCACCCTAACAGGGACACACTGACCCTGGACTCTTGATATCACACTTTTAAACACCTTCCATTTGCCAGTCATTCCTTTTCCTTCAAACAGATTCACCCAATCGACTGCTGCTAGATCCTGTCTAATGGCCCCAAAATTGCCCTTGCTCCAGTTTAGCACCTTAACCTGTGGACCTGTCCTATCTTTCTCCATAACTATACTAAAACAAAGAGTTATGGTCACTGGACCCAAACTGCTCTTGTTCTGACACTTCAGTCACTTGCCCAACCTTGTTTTCTAAGAGGAGGTCCGGTTTTTCACCCTCCCAAGTAGGGCCTTCTGCGTATTGATTTAGGAAACTTTCTTGGACATATTTGACAAATTCCACCCCATCCAGGCCTGTTACACTCTGGGTGGCCCAGTCAATGCAGGGAAATTAAAATCTCCAACCAGTACTACTCTATTATTCCTACAGATATCTGCTCCTCGTAACCACTAGCTATTTGGGGGTCTATAATACAGTCCCAACAGTGTGATCATCCCCTTCTTGTTTCTAAGTTCTAACCATATGGCCTCATTTGATGACCCCTTAATAATATCCTCTCTAAGCCTGAAATTTCACAGCCTGAGATTGACCACTCAAACACATTGTGTATGAACTGAACAACAATATTGAACTTCTCACTGCTGATCCTCCCGCTTAGAGTATTGTTTTTGCCTCATTAGGACGACGAAACTTGCGATTAATAATGGAGTACCTACCTCACGGCAGCTTGCGTGACTATTTACAGAAGAATAAAGACAGGATTGATCACAAGAAGTTGCTTGTCTATGCTTCTCAGATCTGCAAGGTAATCCAATGCTTTCTACGAGTTGGTGGTCACCCTAGTGACTGTTCCATGTACTGCCCAGATTCATAATGTAGGGGAAGTGTCCAGTCATCAGCTAGAATTAGGACTATAATTAATTGATGGGTTTCTCATTGTTAAATAGAGAGATGAGTGGATAGCTGGAGACAGACCCCAGAGGGAAAGGGGAGGCACATGAAGGGGTTATTGATAGTAGGCCAGGACAGAAGAGAAGCTGAATGCATGACAATGAGAGCTGAGAGTAGGAGAGAATGGATCGAATGTGCTGAAAGCAACCCATGTGATGACATGACTGGGATGTGGGGTGGGTGAAAAAACATGAAAGGGCAGAACCAGGCTCTAAAGTTATTGAAGTCGATGTTGAGTCCTAGAGATCGCAGAGTCCCCAAACAGAAAATGAGGTGCTATTCTTCAAGCTTGCGCTGAGGCTCATTGTGACAGAAATGTTGGCCAGTGAAAATGGTAGGGTATTGAAGTGGCAGGTAAATTTGAGGTAATTTTTGTGGACGGAATGTAGATGCTCTGCAAAGCAGTCACCCAGTCTGCATTTCATTGCCCCGATATAAAGCAGACCACATTATAAACAGGGAATACAGAAGACTAGATTAAATGAAATGCAGGTAAATCGCTATGTGACCTGGAAGGTATGTCTGGGGCCTTGAATGCTGTGGAGGGGGGATGTAAAGGGAAAGTTGTTACCTTCTGTGATTGCATGGGAAGGTGAGCTGGAGGTGCAGGGAGTAGCTGGGAGTGGAGGAGGAGTGCATCAGGGTGTCTCAGAGGGAACAGTCCCTGTGAAATGCTGACAAAGGAAGGGAGGGCAATGTGTGTGTGTGTGGTCATGGCATCCTTCTGGAGATGATGGAAATGGTGGCTTATGATCCTTTAGTTGCGGAAGCTAGTGGGGTGGTAAGTGAGGACCAGGAGGGAAGGGAAGGAGTGAGAGCAGATGTATGGGAGATGGGTTGGACTTGGCTAAGGGCCCTGTCGACCATGATAGCAGGGAATCTCAGTTGAGGAGAAAGATGGCACGTCTGATAATCCTCCCCACCCCCACCAACCCCTCACGGAAGTTGCCATCATCAGAACAGATGGATGTAGAAAAACATGAAATGGCAGAATGGAGAATGGCATGAAATGATCACTTTATTTATTTGAAAGTCAGAAGTCACATGACACCAGCCTATAATCCAACAGGATTATTTGAAATTTCTCAAGCTTTTAGCCCCGACAAAGGGGCAGCACTCTGAAAGGCTGTGTGATTTCAAATAAACCTGTTGGACTATAACCTGGTGTTGTGTGACTTCTGACTTTGTCCACCCCAGTCCAACACTGGCCCCTCCACAACATGTTTGAAAGTGAAGCCGTGATCACCAGCTCCGCTTAGGCTGACGAATGAAGTGCAGCTGTAATGACTTTGAATCTTTCCTACACTAATCTTTCCCACACTAACCTTCTCTCTAGGCTCTTGTGGTGCAGTGAAAGTGTCCCTAGGTTCAAGTCCTACCTGCTCTAGAGGCATATCATTACATCACTGCACCAGCTGATTAAAAATGCACCCACCTTTTCTGACTGCAGCCAGAACAACCCTCTGTGAATGTTTTTATTCACTTTTCCAAACTGTTGTTGAAAGAATATCAGAGGGCAAGTGAACAGATTATATGTAACCTAAGAAAGGTCAATTTGTACTTGGTGGCATCAATGATTTTGTTATACCACAAGAGGGCAGCCTTTCCACATCTTGACTTTTGATGTGAATTGAAGGTTTCTGTTCAGCTTCCTTCCTGTCCAGCTATGCCCTGAATTCAGTGAAGAAAGAAATGTACTGATCTGATGAATTATCATCAAGAAATTTATCCTCTGTTGCAATGCATTTTTGGAAACATTAGGAACAGCATTCAGCCATTTGAACCTGCTGTGTCATTACAGCAGATTATGGCTCTTTTGCAGCCTAACCACATTTACCCACCTTTGGTCCATATCCATAGCAGGGGGAAAAAAATCTATCCATCTGAACGGTCAGTATATTAAATGCCTACAACTTTTTGGAGAGGGTATTTCCTGAATTTTATTGTCCTATCTGCAGAAAAGAATATTTCCTGATTCTGGTTGTGAATTGGGCAGCCAATGCTCCCTACCCAACAAGAAATTTATTTCCTGAGAGTTTGAAATTCTTGTCATTTCATAAGATTGGTAAATCACAATTCCAAATGTTCCGGAAGTTCTGCAGTCCAAATTACGTGCAGATGGCCCCTATTTCTAGCAAATTCACACCAATCACAGATGTGCCATTTTCAAGAAATCTTCACTGAGTGAATGATAGCAAGCACTATGGGTTTTTTTTGTTTCCTTGCAGGGAATGGAGTATCTAGGAACCAAGCGATATATACACCGAGACCTGGCAACACGGAACATTCTTGTAGAAAATGAGAACAGGGTGAAAATTGGTGATTTTGGCTTGACCAAAGTCTTGCCGCAAGACAAGGAATATTACAAGGTGAAAGAGCCAGGAGAAAGTCCAATCTTTTGGTAAGCCCAAATCAATCTGTGGCATATGCCTCTGATCCAGCATGGATAAAGGCTTTTTCCGGGAGGACATCTTTAGCAAAATGGTCCACTATTAAATCAAAGGGTGCTATTTTGGATTAACTGATTTGAGTTATCCAGTATTTTAAATTAAGGAAAAGCTCAGCAGTTAATTTGAACTTTCTCAAGGCAGGGCTCTTTTTAACTTCTAAATTCTGTACTTCTGTATAGCACTAAAAGTTAATTTCGAAGAAGTTAATTTTGCTCACTTTGCAATGCATGTAATGAGCTATAAGATTCACAGCACAAATCCTAGCCCCTCAACATGTTTGTGCACAGAATGAAAAATGAACCTGAAAGTGGTGAGTTGATGTAACACTTAATTTTGTTGTTTCAGTGTAATCATTGCAAATAATGAGTAGTTTGAAAGTAATCAGTTTGGTTGTGTCAGTTGATTGCTGGGGAGAAGTGTAACTTAAGGTAAGAACCCAACTCTGACCATAGAAAAATTAAATAATTAATGGTATCACAGGAAGTAAGAGCAGCCCTCTCAACCAGCAAATACTTGAGCATTAATGAGTGGAGCCTAGATGCTACACCATAGGGAGAGTTGGAAAATTGAAGGATAATCAACATACCCAGTCCTGGTTGGTTGGAGAATCAGGTGGGCAACTGACTTGTTGATGTGGACTTATTGGGGTGAGGTATGTGATGCTGAGTAAACAAAATAAAAATAACATACATCTTATGAGTGTGATATCTTATATGTAAAATGTGACATTGCCTTTCCTTTCAAAAATTCAAATAAACCTCTGTCACCTACAGAGCAGTAAATGTAACTGGTAGACATTAAAAAGCAGGTCTGCAGCTGTCAGTGCACCATGTTTGAGATTTAAATGTACAACAGCACAACCAGATACTGACTCAGTTACACTCAGACAATGAAGGCCATCAGTTTAACTGGGACAAGGTAACCATAGCAGCCCAAGCCAAACATAGACATGCGCGGGAATTCCTAGAGACATGGTTCTCCACCCGGAATGCAATCAACAAAAACATAGAATTGGACCTCATGTACAAACCCATACAGATCAAAACTGGAAATGACATTACTCGCCATTACGGACTGGACAGTATAAATTCCAAGCGGAGTAGAACAACATCGCTTCATCGGAGGCACCACTGATGATGTCACCTAGCATGATGACAAAACGTCTGAATGAGAATAAGCCAGCTCGGCAAGAAAGTCAACAACATCACCCTCAACTCGAGCTACAGATCTTTGCCAAAACTTTGAAGGAGTCACCCATTTAGGCCTGAATTGAGGAAAGAATGTTCTTCATTCAAACACTTGATTTTATTTTAGAATTAGATTCTGTTGTCACATGTGCTCAAGTAGATAAGTGCAGTAAAAAGTGTACAATGTTGCCATTCCTGGCATCATCTTAGGTACAAAGGTACCCAGCTACAAAATCTTACATGCAAAGTAGAGAAGTAAAGAAACAAAGTTAAAAGTTAAACATTACAGTCCTTCGTAGTATAAAGTAGAAAACTAAAAGAATATAATTAAAAGTTCAACAGTCTTTAAGTGTTTAGTCATGCTGGGCTCGCACTCCCTACAAATGCTCAATCTCCTCCGCATTGGCCTGTTCTCAGGGAAACCTCGTGCTGCCTGCTCTTGCTGCCACCACAGATTTCTATTGCTTGGAATGTTATAGATGCTCAGCTTTTGAATAGGTTCAAGTCAGCAGGTGATAAATTTTTGGGTATTTAATAATATGAAGGTACTGTGGTAAGGTCCTGTTAAGGTAGAAGATCAGCCATGATCTGCACCAAATGCCAGAAAGACTCCGAGTTGAATGGCCTGCCTCTGCCCTTATCTCTTATGTGGCAGTGAGGAGCTTCCATTCGAGTAGGAAAATGATGGCATTACTGTATATCTTGGGCCTGCCAATACCAGAACCCTAGGAGAAGATTGTCTCAGCCTTTAAATGGTGTACAACACTTGGAGGATTGAAGAGAAAGTCGTAATTTAAATAGAAAAATTGCTGGCTGGGATTTTTCGATAGCGTATAGCAGACCAATCAGGTTACGATGGTTGATAATGTGATATTTCTCTGAATATCTGAAACAGGTATGCATTGGAGTCTCTGATGGAAAACAAATTTTCGGTGGCTTCAGATGTTTGGAGCTTTGGAGTGGTGCTGTATGAGCTTTTCACATACAGCGAGAAGACCAAAAGTCCACCGTCGGTGAGGCTTCAACTTCTGTGAAACTGATTAAACTAGTTTCTCTTCCTACTTTGTTTTGTATCACTAATGCTACCCGTTGCATGAAATGCTGTACACAGTTTGCAAATATTACAACATTAGGCACGTACATTGCCGGTTTGGATAATCTATTATTACATATTTACCTGGATGTTGAGAAGAGCAGCAATCACAGTTGGACTATTCTGTTTGTAATTTTTCTCTGGTAGTATTAAACTCTGAATTTCTAGCCAGGAATTCCAATCCTGGCCAGTTCATAAATGCGGAGCTTAACTCTGCTGAACGTAGGTACCCTCTCCCACATACTGCAGGATAGTTCAGGTGGGACAGGGCTCAAACCACACTCCCATTTTGCAGCTGTCAGTACACCATATTTGAGATTTAAATGTACAGCAGCACAATCAAATACTGTGAAAGGTACTGCTAAAGATAAGCGTGATTTGAGTGGCTGTTGGTTAAGGGGATAGGTTGCATGAGATGGGTAGAGTGCCAGGCAAAGAAGGTGCCAAGTAGGAAGCATGTCAGATAAGATGGAATGCTTTCAGGATAGATTGGAGGAGTGTTCAGAGGAAAGTCCAAGCTGACATTAAGGGGGTTGTTGGTGCTTCAGGAAGACAGTGTTCAGAGGTCTCAGGTCACCAGGTTAGTAGGTTAGCATGTGATCAGGGAGGTGGCGGGGAATCATGTAGAATTGCAGTGTATCTGGTCAGAGGGTGTGTAGGTGGTTGTTTGGCATTTGTGGAAGTCTACTTGTGAGTTGTGTATGGTAAGTGGGGAGGTCAGCTTAAGACCTAACTCTGTTTTTAATCGTCTAACATTTTCTGGGTAACTATTAACAGAAGCAGAACCCTCTGAACTCTCCAATGTTAAGGAGTATTTTTCCCCCCCAGAGTGTCCCAGGTGAGAGGGGAGTTGCCCTTTGGAATCTTCAGTTTCCCAGGCAATTCCAGCAGAGTCAACCCTGCCTCAGATCCCGCAGGATCCCGACGTGCAACCCCAGTGTGCACCATTCCAACAACTGTCTAGTCACTGAAATATCAGCGCTATTATGTTTGTCTATTTGCTGCTTTTTCCAAACTTTACAAATATTGCTCACTTTAACGTTAATCAGTTTTCCAATATTTCTCTTTCAGTGAATCCAATTTAATGTTATTTAATTGCATTTTCAGGAATTCATGCGCATGATCGGCAGCGATAAGCAAGGACAGATGATTGTCTTCCATTTGATCGAGCTACTTAAAGCGGGTAGACGACTGCCAAATCCAGATGGGTGTTCTGACACGGTATTGCTCATAAAGCCGTGTGCTCTTTCGCTTTGCATCTTCCTTGCGCAGATCGCTGTCTTTTCATTTGGAAAAAGTAATGTGCAAGATTAGGCCAAATCTTGTTACAGAAATAATTTACAGTTATTTAGGGTAACCTTTGAAGTAGTTATTTACCAGTTTTAAAAATTAGCAAGCACATTACACCCCTGCGGCAGTATTTAATGGAGGTGATGGGGTAGGTGGAATGCAGAGGAAGGGTCTCGCCTGCTGGCAGAAGCACCTGAATGAGATTGCTATCAAAATATGGGGAGCATGTGCTCTGGGTCTGACCAATGCAGGAACTGAATGCAGATTATGTCAACTCAATTCTTCCATGAATTTACAGCTGGAAAAGGGATTTTCTTTGTATATGTCTGGGTCAGTCCAATTAATCAAATGTGCAAGTCTTCTGCCAGAATTATGAGCAATGAACTCGGATTATATTTAAGAAATAAAGTAGTATTTAGATCATATATGGAATTGGGTCATTCAGTTCAGCAGTCAATGGAGGTGTTTCTGCTCCATGTGAATGTCCTCACTCCTCTTCATCTCTTCAATATGTATGAGCAAATACCACAATGTTGTTCTTAACTGCATAGGGCTTGGCTACTAAATGGGCAGTTTCAGTTGGAGGCTGGTGTAGGATGTGTTAAAATGTATTCCTGATTTGAGGTAATAATGGGGCATCATCTAAGCCAGGCCTTAAAATACAACTGAGACAGAGTAAACCTAGCTTTGAGTGCATGCTGTTAGTGATGTGTACTGAAGGAGTTAAGTAATGTGTAATAAGTGGGTGGAGGTGGTGGGAATAATCCGTTTTATAGCACCTGCTTAAGCAGAAAAGTTGTTTGTAACAAACCTTGTATGTTTAAGGAAAAGCACTTGTTTATGAGCAACGTTGTGGCAATGACCAACAATGTTTTCAAACCTATTTTTTTAATCCTGATCATACTTCTCCTTCCAATGTCAGATGTATTCAACAATGATGGAATGCTGGAACACTGTATCAACTCAGCGCCCAACTTTTAAAGAGCTTGCTCAGAAAGTGGACTCCATGAAGGATCCTATGGGAGGATGAGTTTGCAGAAACTTCAACCGGGATGCTCTGAAGTCCCAGCACAATTGCTGCTTTTCCAGTCTGATTCTGGCACTACCCACTCTTGGGCACCATGCCAACTCAAGGGACTGATTACTGTCTCATCATCTTCATTCAAGCAAGGATCACTTAGGACTTCTTTCTCACTCTGGGGAATGTCAGTCCTTTCGTAATGACGTTGCAGTTCACCAGGACAGGCTGGTAAATTATTGGTGTTGTAACTGCGATATAATTTGCCCACTTCAGGTCTGGTAACGTGGGTTTAATGTTACAGCTGTTTATAACAGTAGGAGTTAACTATGTGGTGATGAAACTTCCTGTACAGCGATGCTTGGAGTTTATCATTGTCATAATCATCAGAGGGCCTTCAGTGGTGAATGTTAAACATTGTGTTATTTGTGCTGCTTGCACATGAACTGGTTAAAGAAAAAGGCTCTGATTTTGAATTTGCCCGTTGTAACCTAAAACTGTGCTAATAGTAATTCCGGCAAAGATTGGAGAACAATTTCACTGTGTTACATAGGATCTTATTTACACTTGTCATAGACTAGATTTCAAACAGCGTTGACAAGAATGTAGATGAGTTCCATGATATGATATGATATGATATGATATTTGTAATATATGTTAATTTGGCTATATTAACTACAAAAGGAAAAGATCAATATCTGAAATTGAAAATTTTCATGAATCAGCTATGCTGTGGTGTGAGTATTGTGATGCATTAAATGGTGATGTAGGAAGTATGTGTTCCTGCACAATATTGTAGATGTTGGACTGGTCATAAATTCCTCAAGGATTTGCTTGTGGTGCACAAATTTGGAAATTGTAGCTTCATAATATCTTGAAGAAACTACATGAGGGAATAATTGTTTGGTACATGATCCAGAATACTCAACAATGCATAGTTTGTAGTGACACTTAATCTGCCTTATGTTATCCATTTGTTATTGTTTTTAACATTTGGATTAATGGTGAAGGAGAAATATGTTGAACACCGTTTGCTTAGGTTAATTATAAGAAGAAAAGCTCAGGGATGTTTTATGCTTTTTTTTAAAACAAAGAAACAAAATGATCGATACAGGATTAGTTGTTTCATCCACAAATTAGTTAACTTACATACATTAATACAGTAGGAGCTCATGCCAAAGGATCTTTTGAGTTCTGCCACCTCCACCACCTTGTAGAGACACAGGGGGGAATAACAAATACAGTCTTGTCACCTTGTGCCCATCCCAAGGATTCTTCTTTTTTCAGAAGTCATGCAAACATAGTCCTTACTCCACAATAGAAAATCATTCATTAGCTACGCAAGCAGCACGACCAAAACGTAAATATAAAGTGACCAACATCTTATTCTCCTTCTTTATTATTTTAATTTTTTACAGACTCTTAAGTTTACTTCCATCTGTACAATACCAGTTTATACTCAGAACTCTAAGCAGGGAAAGCAGTGTCCTAATGATATCCTCACTCGATTACTGATCGAGATATCCAAGTAATGTTCTGGGGACATGGGTTTGAATTATACCATGGCAGATGGTGGAATATGAATGCAATAGAAATCTGGAATTAAGAGTCTAATGATGACCATGGATTTGTTGTTAAAAACCCAGCCGGTTCATTACTGTCCTATAGGGAAGGAAACTGTGGTCCTTATCTGGTCTTGCCTACACGTGACTCCAAATCCATGGCAATGTGATTGGCCCTTGACAGCTCTCTGGGCAATTCAGGATGGGCAATAAAGTTCTGGCCTGGCCAGAGACACCCACATCCAATGAATGAAACACAAGTTATCAGTGATGCAGTGTTTGCATAACAGCAGCTGAAATTGTGCACTTGGGAACACGGTATTTTCTGTGAATGAGCTACACCACACAGGCACAGTACTAGCTGAAAACCCACATTAAGTAGTTCCATTTATTAACAGTTAGAGTTATCCAGCTGATGATCATAAATGTAAGCTGTGTGTGTTTCTGTGTTCATTCCTCTATTTTGGTTACAATGCACAGATTGCAGCACTTCATCCACCACATGTGAAGCATGTAAAGTGTTGTAGCAGAATTGGTCTGGTATTGATTGGGAGGAGAATAGTCAAACACAAGTATAGAGTGTAGCATTCTAATGTCAGCACTATGTATTTCATAGAGCTGTTTTACTTCTGCTTCCCGTTCTGTGTGGTATTCCAGCTTTTGAGTATGAGTTTTGGAAAGGCCACTTCTAGGGTGGAGGCTTATGATCCATAGGCAGTAATCATGGTACTACCTTTACCAGTACACCTCTGTTCCCAGCAAAATTACTCAGAACCATGTTCCGTTAAACAATATGTACCATTGCTGGAGCTATTATTAAGTGTTTTAGCTAGGATTTCACATTGATTCATGTTATGCTCATCAAGTTTTCTTGCAATATTCACTGCACAGTGAGAAGTCTGGAAGTATTCTCATTGGAATCCATAGCTGAGGAACATTTTGAGGCAATGAATGCAGTGTAGCAGATTAGACGTTGTTCATGCTATAAAGCATATTGGCTTAAGTGCAACTTCTGCATTGCACTGATACCAAACCACTGAATAAACCAACAGTGAGTGTTGTAACTCCTCGGGAATTGCAAGTAATTCATGAAGCAGACAAGACAAAGCCAGAAGATACTTTCTGTAGGGCTAGGCTAAATCTATTCACTTCACTTCTGACATATGCATCCTCAGAAATCACCTTCCTCCTTGCATCTTCCTTTAGTGCACACTTTTTTGAATTTATTTTTCCATGAATTACTAAAAACAAATAGCAAACTAATCAACAATGGACTGTGTACTTAAATTTGTCTACAAACTTTTGACAACTTTAGATTGAAAAGTTCTTTACTGTTACCTGAATAAAGAAAAAAAATGTGAGAATGAGACTGTCAGGGTTAAAATAGGGGAAAAGTAAAGCGCAGACATACACTTTCATAATTGGTGCGCCCACTAAAGCCATTGTGTCACATTATTTATTTTTTTAAAAATTAATTCATGGATGAATGTCAATGTCACTGGTAGGATCAATGTTTGTTAACTTAAGGACAGTTAGAGATGGTAATTGCCATTAGTCTATAGTTAAACCTCCACTGCCTGTTCAGAATGATTGTATTTAAAGTGCTGTTCTGTGTTGAACTGTCATGTTGCTTTATAGTTAGTAAGGAGCCAGCTGGCCATTTCATACCTGCAATGCATTCCATATTTGGAATGTTTCACACCTACTTTGGAACTGAAGTCAGATCTTCATGCATTACTTTATATAATGGAAGCTTTAGTATTGCACATTGATATATAACAGTCTGAATTTATACAACACCTTTATTAACATACACAGTTCCAAAATGCTTCACAAGTATATCTGCAAACAAAAATTTGTCTCCATATTTTGGACATGCAATCAAAAAACTGATCAAAGAGGTGGGTTTCATGCCGCATCTTAAAGGATGAAAGTGAGCTGGAGAGCTTCAGAGAGGGGTTTCAAAGTTTCAAGTCTAGATGATTGGTGAGTCACCCAAACAGATTTTTGTAGTTTAGTCTCTTTTAGTTGGCCGTGGGAAGACCATTGCCTGATGTAGGCTACATCTACATAATTCAGTGCATCAAATTTCTGTCACTCCAAAATGTGTGTTGTGCTTTCATCATAACCGGTTGCTATTCATCTCGCAACCTAGCAGCGGAAATGTACTTACGTCAGCATACATCGTTTAATGCAACCAAGAAGGATTCAAGAGTAAGGTAGTCCTTTCTGTTGGAAATACTGGTTTGATATGAGCTGAAGGATTTCTGGTAGATTAATAGGAAGGGTGGGGAGTATGTTTGTTTGTTTGTTTGAGATTATTATTATGATCACAAAATATTAGTCAGTATAAATTGGCAAACACCATTTGCAATGAAACTTGAAAATGATCTGATGCAGTGTCTTCAGATGGTATATGATGGTGTGATTTCAATCAGGAGCGATTCAAGCTTCATTTTAGATTATCCACAGACCAGAATTTTAAGCGTGATGTAGGATTTGCTGCCAGGTTTATAATGTACAATAATCATGTTAGAGTGGAAAAATGAAAGTGACATGGGGGTAGGGGCACAGTGGCTCAGTGGCTAACACTGCTGTCTCATGGAGCCAGGGGCTTGATGGGCTGAATGGCCTACTTCCATACTAGAGGGATTCTATAAGTAAAGGTATATCTTTTAATTTTCAACATAAATGTTAACAGGTTGTGAATTATTATAAGATGTTTGCTTACTGAAGCGTTGTCATATTCTAACTACAAGTATGCTTTTACTAAAAGAAAATCTTGTACTTTGAATGGCATTGTTTCTTCAGATATTTGCAAGTACTTTTTTTTATTCATTCTTGGGATGAGGTCATCGCTGTCTAGGCCAACATTTATTGCCTATTCCTAATTGCTCAAGGGCAGCTAAGAGTCAACCACATTACTGAGAGTCTGGAGTCACATGAAGGCCAGACCAGGTGAGGATGGCAGTTTCCTTCTCTTAAAGACATTAGTGAACCAGATGGGTTTTTCCCACAATTAACATGGATATGCGGTTATCATTACACAATTAATTTCAGATTAATTTTTAATGAATTCAAATTCCATCATCTACTGAGAGTGATAACTTTATTTATACTTGGTAATAATTTAGGCAACAGAACATCCATCATCACCAGACAAGCATTAGAATACAAAATGTACATGGCAGAAATCCATAGTGATCTAGAATCCTTGGAGTACTACTAGGAGATGTATATCCATTGATTAAGATTGATGTTTTTCTAGCTGATCCTTAAAAGAAAGTATTGTCTAGCACCGATCATAACTACATAGGAGGTGCCAATTAATAACAATGTTTAACATTTTGGACAACTAACTGAATCTAAGAACAGTTTACCTTATAACCTTGGAATTACAGTCCTATGTTCTTCAAATGAAACTTTGTCAAATTCAAATCTAATTTCTCAAACAAGTGCAGTGATAACGTTGTGAGATTGTACTTGGACTAGTAATGCAGAAACCCAACTATCGTTCTGGTGACCTAGGTCTGAATCCTATCATGGCAAATGGTAGAAAATTAATTCCATAAACCACTGGAATTAAAATGAAACCTTTGCTATAAAATCCCATCTGGTTCACCAATGGCCTTTAGGGAAGGAAATCTGCCATACTTGCCTGGTCTGTCCTACATGTAATTCTAGACCCAGAGCAATGTCGGTGGCTCTTAACTGCCCTCTGGGAAACTAGGGATGGACAATAAATGGTGACCTAGCCAGTGATGCCCACATCCTATGAACAATAAAAGATATTCCTAACACAGTCGTTCCATTCCAGGTAGTTACATTAATGCCCATGGAATTCTACCACGGGTTTCTCCAAAGTGTTCTAGAGCAATGCACTGCCATTTAGAGAAAAGATTGACATGATGTACTATTGAAGAGGTAAAGCATTAGCATTATTTAGCCTCAGACCAAAGCTATTGACAGAACCTAGTTTCTTAAATCACTTGTAAATGTATTATGGTTCTTGGTCATCTTTTGACTCAACTGAGGGGTTCTCAGGCTTGTGTGCACACTTCACATGAAAGAGATGCTTCACTTGTTATGCACTTCAGTTCAGTTCATGGGCACACAATAACTGGTTCTCCACTAGGGCAGTGGCTGAATCAAAATACACCTTGATCTCCTCCATGCTTTTCAAGGGCATTAAAAATCTTGATGCATTCAGTTCTAAGTTTCTTATCTTGCAAATGCATTAAATCTTGTCATGCAAAAGGCCCAATGGCCTCCTTCCAGACTGTAAATTTTAGATGATTAGCTATTCATTGATGAATGAGTCCTTATTTTGCTTTCATCGTTATACATTTTTTTTAATTGATTAATGTTCTTGACATCACTATTTCCTTGGTTTACAGTGGGCCTCATTTGCAATGAATGCCTTCAAGAGTATCTGCTTCCTTTTACATGCCTTGTTCTTGTTTATTCTTGCAATTCCATCTCTCTCTGTAAGCCAATTTCACACAAGCAGCAAGTATTCTCATATGTAGTGGAGTTGTTCTTGCAAAATCTCATTATCTGAAAGGTGATTTCATTCTTATTTCTAACCTGTTTTCCATTGCTAAGATTCTAATCTGTTTGTGTTATCAACAAATTATCAATAACTCCCCTGTAAACTTTACTTTCTCCTTGCTGGTGAGTGCCAAATACCATTCGATACACAGGTATGCTTCTTATGTTGAAATTGTATTGCATTACAGAGTCTCAAGGGGCTTAAGTGACAAGATCAGGTTGTATTAGCTTGCAATCCTTAGATCATAGAATATTGTGGGGTGAACTGAATGAAGTGTTTAAGGTGCTGAAAGGATTTCGTAGTGTAAGTACAGAAAAACTATTTTCTCTGTTGCAGGAAGTGAGATCAGGAGGATATAATCTTAAAATTAGAACTAGGCCATTTAGGAGGAAAATCAAACTTTTTTTTTATTCATGGCGTTGCAATAGAAATCTGGACTCCTCTCCCCATAAGCCAATTAATGCTCCTTTAGTTGGATCTTTGAAGACCGAGGTCAATTTTTTTTATTAGGTAAGGGAAACGGGATTTGGAAGCAAGGCAGCCAAATTTGGTTGAGATATCAATCAGCCATGATCTAACTGAACAGTAGATCAGGGTGAGGGACTGAATAGTCTCATACTGTTCCCATGTTCCTATCTCAAAATTAGAATTTCTTATCCTTAGCTTTTTTATACTTCTGCAATGTTTTTCACCTAACTTGGTGCTTTCTAATGATTACTTGCTGATTTCCCCTGATCAGGTCTTCCCTGCAAAAACTATGAATGTTGATTCCCGAATTTAGTTTGGAAATAAACAACCAACAAGACACCATTCCTCATGCCTCTGGAACTATTGGAGTTAAGACCATAACTCAGTGTTGTCTGGATGATACACTTCAATCTAGCTCGTGCACTGACAATAAAATAAATATCGCTTGCCAAATAATGCTGATTGTTGGTGAGCTTTCTGCTGTTGTTCATTTACTCAATATCCTCATTAACTTATAGTTTGTTTCATTTAGGATGTGATACTACAATTTAATGCATGAAAATTCATTGCTGTCTTTTCGTCTTTTAAATAAAGGTAAAATAATATTTTCTATTCATTTCAAGAGAATAAGGTATTGTATATAGTTGTGTAAATATTATGGATGATTTTACTGGTCAGCTGTAATTTAAAAGTGCATTCATTTCTTTTTCGTTTTACAGAAATGTGACCGCAATTGTGCCTTGTACTATAAAAATGCATAAACTGTGATAAACAACAGTAAATGCATATATGTTTTGTGACTTGATATAAGACTTGTATATTCTGCTGCTAACTCATTATTATATTGCAAATTCAAATAATTTTAACCGCTTCTAAATGTGGCAGTGCTTGTAAACTATTGTCCATGCATTTTTTAAAATTTGCCCTTTAATCTGTGTGCAATTGTCGAGAAAATAAAATCAAATTTTCATTATTTTTACAACTTGCAATTTTTCTTGTTCAAATTTTCTGAAATTAAATATATTTTGATTACTGAACCTTCTACTGTGTAATTTAACAGTTTCGTCTTTTAATTCAAAACAAAGTAAATAAATGGGTTGAAAGGGGATTTTAAAAATTGAGCTATGTTTTGCTCCATTAGACTATTGCATGACAAACAATGAAGTCTTTAACTCCTAAACCAAATTGGGATGAAGACAATTCTGAAGATGAGTCAAATAGACTGGAAACATAATCAACAAAAACAGAAGTTGCTGGAAAAGCTCAGCAGATCTGGCAGCACCTGTGAAGGAAAAAAAGAGTTAACGTTTCAGGTCCGGTGACCCTTCTTCAGAACTAGTTCGGTTTTTATTTAGACTGGAAACATTAACTCTATTACTCTCTCCATCGATGCTGCCAGACTTGATGAGTTTCTCTGTTTATTTCAGATTTCCAGCATCCGCAATATTTTGAGATGAAGTTGCAAAGATATATTTCAGTGCCTTAATGCCTGCAATGCATAATTGGAATATCAATCCTGATTGAATGCAATTATATTAGCTTTGTAGAATGCATATGAAGTGCATATTTAGACACCCACTAAAGAATTGCTGTGTGATATATTGTTGGGATTATGTTAGCTAGAAGTGCTTCCATCTACTTAGAGGTTTTTCTATTTTATGATCATCAAGCTGATAGTTGTTGATTCTCAGAGGTGGAATGCTGTCTATTCCAGCGACTTCATAAACTTTCAGATCAAGGATTAAATATCAATCACTTAAGGATAAAGCAACAGAACATAGGTGACATAGCTTTCTTGTATCTGTATAGTTTTAATAGGATTGGGATTCCCAACATGTTGCAGTATTGCATGTACTTGTGAATGCTGCTGCATCTATTGATCGGCCATGGCAGTGTAGCTTTGATATTCTGGAACATTGGATGTTGAACTTGATAGGTTGGAGAAAGACTATAGAGTCCAATTGGCGTAGCTCCATCACATGAGTTATCAGAAGAGATGGTTCTGCACATCTGTTTGGATACCAGATATCTGAACATGTCCTTTACAGCTACGCAAATACAATTTCCCACATTTGCAAAGCTGAACCCCGAGATTGTGAATACCAATATTTTCTCCAGACTTAGTGCTAAAAACGGCTACTGATCGATGTATTTGGAAAGAGTATATCCAAAACATCATTTTTTGTAATGTGAATAATTTTTGTGTCTCTCAAGATAAACCTTTCAATTTAGGGGGAAAAGGGGAATACTGTGGTGTGGTATACCTTTAAGGGGATGTATCTTAAATGGCTGCCCATGACTAACTACCACGAAACAGAATGTGATGTATAATCTCATGAGTTCATAGACCAATTGAACCAGCAGTCCTACAGGTCAAATCTGTCTACGTAGCCTCCATTATTTGTATCTAGTCTTATTTATAAATAAAGAGCCATATTATTGTTTTACCTATCCTTGCTATGTGATTGGTTTGATTGTAATAAACAAAAGTGTTGTGAAGTTGGTATAGTACTTGTGGATTGGCAGGCAGGATGTTAGAATTTATAAAATGATAGTGGGAAGAGTGTGTGGTCCCTTTAAAACGTGTTTTTTTAGGTGTGGTGATTAAAAAAGATGTCTGCAGGCAACAGCTGATGCACAGAGTTCTTGAAATTGAAACATTGTATCCAAAGGCTACACTGTTAGCAGGCAAAACAGCATTTTTACCAAGACAACAGGTTTTTGAATTTAGCCAATTAATTTAAACCAGGCTCTAGATACCAAAGCCCAATTAAATTTAAATCTGACGGTTTTGCCAACCTGGGACCAATCCTATTGGAAGAAATTAATAGGTCATCAAGGGTATAAAAGAAGAGGGCATTTGAAAATCGGTGAGAGAGCAAACTGCCACTTGTTAAGAGAACAGCCATCAGCTCTAAAGAAAGAGAAAATCATTGGCTCTGACAGAAATCTCTAAGATCTGAGTAAGCACCATCTAATAAAGGTACTACGGCACTCTTAGCTAATAATCCTGATACACGAATTTGACAGAGGAAGGCGTTCCTGACTCCTCACTCTGCTTCGTAACAGAAGAATGGAACAGTCAAGGTCTAAAATAACAGGCAGAATCTTATAGGGATCTGAGCCATGTTGCAGAATCAGGCAACAAGTGCAGAGTGGCCAATCTAATTGTTGAAATCATATCTCTGCATCTTTTATGCCTTTCATAAGCAATGTGGCAAGATTCTTGCTAAGTGGTGGTGGGTGGCCAATTGAGATCATTATTGCTTGTTAAACACCTTGTTAACACCATTAATAATCAGACTCCCAGCAAACCTGCCAAACAAGCTTGATGTCAAGAAAAATAAGCACGGAATCCAGAGCATGTACCTGTCAGAATTCAGCTCACCAATTATCCCTAATGACCTTCATGTTAGAAAGCAGGCACCAGGTAAAGCTGCATAGGCACTGCCACATGCATCTGATATCCAGGAACCTTGGCATCTCATGCACATTCTCCCAATGTCTGGGTGAGTTTCCTCCGACAGTCCAAAAGATGTGCAGGTTAGGTGGTTGGCCATGCTAAATTGCCCATAATGTCCAGGGATGTGCAAGCAATGTGGATTAGCTGTGGGAAATGCAAGGTTACAGGGATAAGGTGGGGGAGTGGGTCGGTGTGGACTTAATAGGCCAATTGGCCTGCATCTACAGTATGGATTCTATGATTGTAAGAACCCTAATTCCTCTTCTCCAGTGTACTTTCAGGACACTTACATACTTCAAAACTGCACCTCGGACTGTACTAGCCACTATCATTGTGATGCTACTGCAAGGACACTATGCTCAGGGACACACACTTGGCTCAAGGACTGGAACAGGATATGTCTGAGTTGTTAGCTTGCTATCATTGCACACTCTCATTTTGCACCCACTTGAAAGCTCACAGCATCCCTGCATTGCATCACATTGCCTTCCCTTTTTCAACTTTGCTTTGAGGAGCTGAATGACAGGCAGCACTCCACCCACCTTGACTCTTTCTGCCCTTTTGTAGGCTGTTTTCGCCCTGGAGTAAGTCTGTGGCAGGCATTAAGGGAAATGAAAGTGGGTGGTACAGCTGCTACCCTTGGTGCAGGTGGGGAATGTGTCCTGAGTGATTGAGTAAGGCAGCACAGAGGGCCAGCAGGGTTCATGGTGTCAGAGTTGAGGTGGATGAGAGTGAGGAAAGATGGTACAGGCAATAGTGAAAGTGATAGAGCACAACTATTTGTGGGAGCTTGGTACAGGAGCAGAGACCGAGTGAATAGGAGGTATATGATTGAAAATGGTGTCACTTACCTTGGCAGAGTGAAGAAAGCCATTGACTTCTTCCCTAAAGTGTTGAATATTCCTTTAGATGGCTAAAATTATTTTAATCTGGGCGGCGACCTTGGTATGGTTGGGTGTCATGACTTCATCTACCGATCCTGGGGAAGGAGTAAGTTCCGTATTAGCACCACCCAGTCCAGCAGCTCCTTGCCTTCAAAGCAGAGTGCTGATTTTCCTCCATCTGCCATGCCTGGGGCAAACGTCAGGACAGCTTCAGACTGGTGGTGCTTCTGAGCTGCATAATAGGCTTTGAATGATGGTGTGGCTACAAGGGATGCTGGTGAATTCTGGGATATTGGCTGAGTGGAAAGTTGTTCCAGGAATGGTGTTTGGTAAGATGGGATGGAAGTCTTAGTCATATCTGATCCATTTCCTGACTTGTGCCCTCAACTCCTCCCTCCCCTTCCCAGCACAATGATAGGGTTACTCTCGTCCTCACTTTCCGCCCTACTGGCCTCCACTATTAAAGCGTGATCCTCTGTTATTTCCATCGCCTCCAAAAGGATGCCACCACCAAACAGACCTTACCCTTCTCTCCTCTGTCAAATTTCCAGAGACTGTTACACACCTTTTAAGTGAACCAATTAATCTAGTCTACTGCATTCGCTGCTCATAATGCAGTCACCCCTTCCAAAAGCCAACTGCGCATTTCATATGCAAAAATGATCCTGATAGCCTTGTCACTTGCTATTGCAAAATACTATCTTGCTTTCACGTTAACATTTCTGTTCTAGGTCTGATGCAGGATTCCATTGAAACCCAAAACAAACTGGAGGAACAGTCCTCCCTCCCTTTCTCCATTTAAATATTTTACAACCTTCAGGACCCAGCATTGAATTCAACAATTTCAGACCATGAATTCTCCATTATGGTTATCAGCCCTCCCATGCTGTTCCTGTAGGTTTGCAAATTTAGTCCACAAGTTCATAAGAAATAGGAGAAGGAATAGACCGTTTAGAATTAGGTTTATTGTTACATGTACTCAAGCACAGGAGTACAGTGAAAAGTTTACAATGTTACCCCTCTCGGTGCCGTCTTAGGTATGTTACCTATGTACAAATCTTAGATACAAAACCCAGAAATAAAGAAAAAAAGTTACATTACCTTACAACGATTCATAGTACAATTTGGATATATGCCCCCTATGAGCCATCTGGACCATTCAACGAGAGTACAGCAGAGCTGATTGTGCCCTTTCCTACCTAATCCCCTTAATATTTGACTCCCTTGTAGATCAAACATTTGTTTAACTCAGCCTCGAATATATTCAATGACCAATCTTCCATTGCTCACCGGGCAAGAGAATTCTAAAGTCTAACAAAGAAAAGAAACTCCTATTCATCTGTCTCAAATGGGAAACACTAATATTTTAAACTGTATTGCTATAGGAACTAACTCATATTCCTAACTTTTATATTCCAATTTCCTTGCAACAAGTGTCAACATTCCATTTGCCTTCCTAATTGCTTTCAGTACCTGTAAGCTAGTTTTTCCTTTTGGTTCATGTACCCAGCTTCTTCTAACAGATTGTGCAGTTTCTCTCTATTTAAATAATGTTCTTCTTGTGTTCTTCCTGCCAACGTGGACAAGCTTTCATTTTTTCACCTTATATTCCACCTGCCAAATTTTTGCCCA